TGATGAGGAATTGAACCAGCGACCTTTCAGTTCACAGGTTGGTACTCAATCCACTGAACCATGGTAGCCAGGGCTATAGGCTTTCTTTCTTTCTTTTAAAGATTTTATTTATTTCTTTTTAGAGAGAGGGGAAGGGAGGGAGAAAGAGAAACATCAATGTGTGTTTGCTTCTTGTGCACCCCCTACAGGGGACCTGACCTGCAACGTAGGCATGTGCCCTGACTGGGAATTGAACCAGTGACCCTTTGGTTCACAGGCCGGCACTCAATCCAATGAAAGCCTATACAAGCCAGCCAGAGTGCTATAGGCGTTCTTAAATGTGCTTTGCTACAATCTTATAAGGAATTTCCAGCTTGAGCTTTAATTAACTCCACAGGGCAGGGAAGCCAAGCCACCCAGTTGCCATGTAACTTTGCCTGCAATAGCTATAACTCTATGAGTTCCTCAAGTTCTCAAGGGCCTCAAAATGCCTTGAGATTCTTCCTTTCCACCTTCCAGGAAAGCCACCTTCACTCTTTACCTGGAAAAACTGCCATGAACCTTATGAATAAGCAAAATTACAGGGCATTTCTCTAAGGGGTTTTTATCAGCTTCAAAGTCAGTTTTAATTCCTTAAAGTTTTCTGGTAACATCCAGAGTCTAGGCATGTCTTTCTCAAACATGACATTCCAGTCAAAGTCTTGGTTAATAGAGCCACAATTGGAAACTAGCTTTATGAGTCCTGTTATGAAGAAATCAGATTCCTTTTGGATTTGTGCAAATAAACATATTGCCATGGAAATAATACTCATTAAGAGTTTCCAAATTCCAAAGAGACCAGGGAGATAAATATAAATGCCTCAATATTGCTTATGAAAATGTAATTTACTAAATTGCTTTAAGAAAAAGTTTCCTTATGTCTGAAAGACAAAAAGATTAAAAATTTTCAACAAAGTTACAAAACTATAATCACCTTCATTCTGTTCCATAAACAATTTTTGTCTATGCTAATTATTTGCCAGTATTTCTCTAGATCCAGTTATTCCAGAGTTCTAGTAATCTTCATCGAATTCAAAAATATGATCTGAAAATTTATTCTCAGAATAAATTTAAATATGTAATTTAAAATAAGTCAGAGTCCTTGCCATGGATCTTTCTGAAGATGTAACATATTTGTAAATGATATGGGTATAGATCTGATTATAATGCAACTTACAAAGGAATTTGCTTTCCTGTAACAACATTTTAAGATAACAATTTAAAATTACAAATGAAAGTATATGGACTTTGTAGGCTCTTGGAGATTTTTATATAATCTTTAGAACATTCACTTTAATAACAAAAATATGTGTATCCTAATAGAATATAGTTATTATCTCTTTATTTGACGAAGCTTCCCTTGCACTTTAAGCATATCAAATAGGCATGATTTGATCAAAATTTCTTCCTAAGGAGAAAGAGCAAATCCTTGTGGCATTACAGGGATTCATTGCAGTGACCCAAAGCCAATTTTAGGTCAAGAAAAATCTCTTAAAATTTAAACTCTGGGGAGGTTAATAAAAAAATTATATATTATTATGGAAGAATATGAAATTATTTACCCAAAGTGACAATAAAGGTATCAAATATAAATACATGCTAGCAAAACTTTTGTTCTTACAATAAAGAATATGGGTTTTTAAGTAATCAAGTAACTGATTAACACAATATAACATATAACTGTTTTTAAATAGAATTTTTGTTTTCTAGACATATACAGGAAAACCTTTTCTCATTTTAACAGACTGAAGAAGAACCAAACAAGTTCTGTCTTAGCTTATGTTTGATATTTAGGTTCACTCACCTAATTAAACCCATTATTAAGCTTAACTATATAATTTCCTCTTAAGATCTCTCTTTACAAACCTTCTTAAATTTGCACAGTCTGTGCAATGTACATAAACCCTCTGTGACTTACATAATCTTTCTAAAATTTACATAGTCCCTTTTAGCTTGCCCCTTTTTAACTCATTCAGAAATAACCAACTTTAGAATAAATTATTTTCTTCTTTTTCCTCAAGAAGTGTTTTCATATTTTATACTTTCCATTACCAAACCATATAGTTTCTCTCCAACTTTATTAGAAATCTTTAGATTGATACTTTTATGAATACCTTTCATAGCTTCTAGAAATACGTTTATTCCATCAGCAAACCCATTCTTATTTTCAAAAGACATCCTTCAAATATAGTGTAAGATATATTCATTAACAGATCCAAATCCATTTTTTACCTTCATAGCAATGGGAAGCCAAAGTAGGCAAACTCAGATCAGTTAATGTTTCAGTATCCTGTTATTTCAAAATATTTAGATATGTAATAATTTTCACCATTTAATCCAGCAAAACTCCAAAGTTCTAAGTCACCAAGACTTTGGAAAATTATGTTTAGGTATATTTGTAATTATTACTGAAAAACTTTATCAAAAGTCTTTCATTTTAGTTTCATCTATTTATTAGTTCTTAACAACTTTGTGAGACTTTTAAAGTCAATTATTACCCAAGTTATTTTCTTGAAAAATTTGTAACAGATATAAATAACATGAACTTATTTCTGCAAACCAGGCAAATAACATATATTTTATGTTAATAACTTCAAAATATATCAAGTTTAAACCAACTTTAATAGCAAACATTTTTCCAGACCTCATGATCTTGAAAAAAATATTTGTGATAGTTCTTACATTTTTTACCATACACATAAACAGTATTATTACTAATTGTTGACAACACAAGATTTTCTTCTTCGCGTGCGTGCGTGCGTGCGTGTGTGTGTGTGTGTGTGTGTGTCCTTGACAGCTTTAAGGAGGCTGGAAGAGAAGTGGTGGAGATCCAGGCTTGGCTGACTTTAGCAGTTTAAAAATGCCTGTCTTTTTTTTCCTTCACGTTGAGGTGGGTCAGTCACCCCTGTTGTTTCCACAAGATTTGGCGATGGCATTAATCTCCTCATTATTCCTGGGACAACCACAGCTCCCATGCCTCCAGGAGGAGGATTCATAATGTTTAAAAGACCTATCTCCTCATTTTTCTTCTTTCTGAGTTTAAAGTCTAGGAGGGAAGTGTGATCTTTTCCCTCTTTAACCATCAATTTAAATCCTTTCTAAGTAGAATTTTTATGATGTAACAACATGAAAGCTTGCACATAAGAGATCTTATCACATTTACCAGAATTTTGGCAAAACAATTCTAATTAGTCATTGACTTATAGCTGTAAATAGACTAGTCAGCTAAAATGTGACCTGTTGAATTTTCTGATGGAATTGAAACTGAGCCACCCATTTCTAAACAGAAACAAAAACAACATCTAAGGCTAAGACAAACTTCAAACAAATGAGTACTCTCCAACTAAATCCTCTAAAACGAATGACCAGGACATTAGTGCAAATGATGTTTACAAGTTTTAAATGACACAGCACCCAGGAGACAAAGACAGAGGATTCCTTCTGTGAACAAAACAGCAAAGAGCAAGCCAAGACCTTAAAAGATAAGACAGCAAGCAAAGAACAACCATAACCAAAGTTTCACGTTAGACAGACAAGCTTTCTCACAGATCTCCCAAACAAAACAGAGAGATGAGAGTTTTCAAACAAAACGAATATTCCAAACCCCCAAATCCATAAACCAGAACACTCAAAGCATGCTCCAAATCACACACCAGGAAATTGGGATTTTTCTTAGTCATCATGTAGTGCCCACTGCTATATGATACCTATTGATTCCTGTATTATCCCAGACAGTTCAAAGAACCCAGATGGTGGGGCTGAGGGCTCCTAGTTGTGCATACAAGGGACTTTACCACTTTGGGGTCATCAACCCACCAGTAACCTGTTTCCTTTCACCCAGCAAAGCATGTAAATGAGGCCAGCCTCCCACAAGCAGGGAGGACCCCTTATTGGGCCATCTGGTCCTTACTAGGGTCCATATTGTCCTGGCTGGGCTGCCAAAAACTGTAACCAAATACAGGTCCAGCTGCCTGCTGCTTCGAAAGTCAATACTTGAGAGGCAGGTGCTGATGTAAAGGAAAGTGGTTTTATTCAGGTGCCAGCAACCTGGAAGATGGGGGACTCTTGTCAAAGGCCATTTTATCATCTCAGGCATCCTGGCTAGTGTACATAAGGGAACCGTGGGAAGAAGGGAACTAAGGAATTTCTGGTGATGTGCAGTTTCGCAGCTCTACTCAGGTGGTTTCAATGTTATTTCCTGCATGCCACATCATGTAGCTTCATTGCTCTGTTCACAGTTTCTCTGCTAATTATCTGCAAGGAAGACGTGCAAGCAGTGTTTCTGCTTGTCCTGACATGAGTCGCTGATGCTTACCCATTTTCTTGTGGTCAGGGTCGTTCTTTGGTTAAGAAGGAGCTGCAACCGCTGATGTCTATAAAATACTTATAAGGAAACTTTTAATACATGAATCATCTATGAGTTTGTTAGTACAACCTATTCTTTAATTACCACCTACTCTCATCATCTGTTATTTTTATGGTCTGTACCTATTTAGCATACAACATTTTATACACATTTTCTTTTTTAAGTAATGTTCTATCTCCCCAGTTAGAGTTTAAATCCCTTACATTCAGGAATACTGTTTTGTATTGGTTTTAATTTCCACTTCCTAATCTAATACTAGATACTCTCAATAAAAATTTATTCATTTCTAAAGATGGTTAGATTTTTAGTGTTGATCTAATACATCATAAAAGGCCTGGGTCTTCCTTTAAACCTAATTTAGATGATAATTGAATAATTTAGTTGTTAAAGTCCGAGAGTAATATTTCCATCAAATTAAATCCTACTATATGTCTACATTTGTATATTTGTATATACTTTTACCAAAATATGTATAGAACCGCAATTACATCTGTCTGTTGTGCTATGCTGATGTACTACAGCTCATTTTCAAAGGCAAATATTATGGTGCATTTCAGACAACTGTGTTCTCATGATCAGTTCTTTGAAACTATATTTGGATGTACAGGCTATTAAAAGCTTCTTGTACTGACGTGACCTTTCAGGCAGAATTTAGATTGAATACTTGTGCTGCTGCTGCCTGTTGCTGAGTGGAAGAGAACAGAAAAGCCTGGATTCAAACCTCTGTTGGGCTTTTGTTTTACTTTTGTTTCCTTTCATTTTGCCTTAAGAAGATGAACAATGAAACCACAACCCTGATATCCTTGAAGGCCGCGATGAAAAGGTTGCTAAGAGCTACCGGGAGGGAACAGGCATAGGTCTGCTTTTCTGGGAAGATGGGTTAGGGAAGTGTCAGGAATAAAAATAGGGAAAGAACTACAAAAATGCCAATTAGAATTCTATCTCTGTTAAAGTGGTTTAAGTCTTGCCCTGGCCAGATAGCTCAATTAGTTAGAGCATTGTCCAACTATGGAAGGTTGCATGTTTGATCATTAGTCAGGGCATGTACAAGAATCAACCAATGAATGCATAAATAAGTGGAACAACAAATTGCTGTTTCTCTTTCTCTCTCTAAAAAAAAGAAAGAAAGAAAGAAAGAAAGAAAGAAAGAAAGAAAGAAAGAAAGAAAGAAAGAAAGAAAGAAAGAAAAAAGGTAAATAAAGTAATTTAAATCTTCTAGGTAAAAAGAAAAAGTAAATAATGAAAAATTTATTCCCAGGTGCAATAATTCCATTCAATTAATGCATGTGGTATATAGTAGTATACAAAAATGAGTAAAACATGATTTCTATCCTGAAGAAACTCACGGCCTGTAGGGATTACAAAAGTCTTCAAAAATACTTAAGGTTTAATGTGATTACCATATAATGATTATGTTTTTAAAGAACTATGAGAGCATGAAGAGAGGATCAATTAATTTTGCTTTTGACACTAGGAGGGGGAACTATTCATAGACATTTAAGCTGGGTCTTAAAGTGTGAGTAGGAGTTTATGAGAAATAAGAATATGGGAAGGAACTCCAGGCTAGCGAAGCAGTGCATGTAAGCCACAGAGCTTGGAATCGCATACTCTATTCAGTCGGCAGCTAGATGCCTCAAGTAACTGGGGAGTAGGCTGGAAGAGGAGTGGCAGAAGATGGGAGCATAGGGCAAAGGACTTTGTTTCCTGCTGAGGAGATCCAACTTGGCTCTAATGACATCACTGGGCAAGTCAGGGTGGCATAAAAGGTATATAGTCAGTTGAAGCATGTGATCAGAAGTGTGTTTCAAGAGCATATTTCTAGAGGATAGACTGGAGGTGACAGAAATTGAAGGCAGGGATCCAGCTAGGCTACTGTAATCCTAGGTCCATGTGAAAGATGATGATTAACTGGTTTAGGAGAGATGGAGAAAAGGGGCAGTTTAAAGACATTAATGCGGGGGTGGGGTGGAGAATTATTCTGAGATTTCTAGTTCAAGCAATTGAATAGATGGTGATGTCGTTAATTAAGCTGAGGAATTATAGTAGAAAACAAATTCAAATCTGCAGACACATTCTTCAGGATTTATTTGGAATGGTCTGGGGATGGCTTTTGGTGAGAGGACTCCAAAGAACTGCTGCAATTATAAACTTTTATATAGATTGACAAGCTAGAGTTCCTCTCTACAGTTCAAGCTAGATATAACCTATGGTCTAAAAATTAATACAAACAGTATGCTAGATAACATGGTTTTAGTGTATAGACAGAGATTGCCAGCATATTAGGTCATGCAGGCTTATACTCCTACAAAATATACACTTCATACTGAGCCTTATCTATATGTAAATAGCAGTGGGAACATTCTATTTAGTAGGTTCAATGTAGGTCAGTTTAATTTGACATCCCATTCAGGTATAAATGTACAAAACATAGTTAAAGATACAGGTCTAGAGCTTAGGCGAGAGAAGGTACTTGCAGCTGAATTAGCCTTGAGAGAAAGGTCAAGATTAGAACCTGGGCAATTACAACAGTATTCAGGTCATTGGGGACATAGAAGCTCAGGGAAGTGGCCTGTGTTTGTGTATCATTTCCTTCATGAAAGGCAACGTGGGTGGCTTCAGGCAAGTTTCTTTGTGGTTCACTTACACATAATTCCACTGCTACAGTGCTCTCTCATGATTAGTGCTGTTCAGAGCTACTCAAATCCCCTTTGGTTACTAAGCTCAGCATCTCATTCACATTGCAGATTTCAATCATACAAGACATATTTTATTACTTCTGTGTAAGTCCTCTGCTAGGTGCTGAGAGACAGGTATAAAGATGCAAGAAATGGTCTCTAACCCCTCCCTCTAAGAGTTTACAATTTTGTTCAAGAAGAGTAACTCTAAAAATAAAGCAGAGGGTGGGAAGTGACAGGTGATAGAGGTAGTCCGTGTGAGAATGAAGTAAGCAGGGTGGAGATCACTAGGTAGAAAGGCTGGGGCAGGGGTGGGGCGGGGGGAGTTAAGCAGGCAGTGGAATTTGAGCTAAGCCTTAAAAAAAGGCTAGGATTTGAGCAGTCAGAATAGGGTAGAGAAAGCTGTTTTATTAAATACTGATTCCTGCACTAGCTAGCTATATGACCTTAGGTCTCAATCTTTCTGATACACAATTTCTTTATGTGTAAAATGACTGCTTCACTTCTTATGGTTATTGTGAAACTCAAAGTAATGCTTGTATATAAATGTTTTTTAAAGTATAATACACAGACAAAACATGTCAGATGAATTCAAGTAGACAATTCAAAAATTTGGCAATATAAGAACAGCATGGATGAAACTGGAGAGTATTATGCTAAGTGAAATAAGCCAGGCAGTGAAAGACAAATACCATATGATCTCATCTATATGTGGAACCTAATCAACAAAACAAACAAGAGAGCAAAATAGAACCAGAGACATGAAAATAAAGAACAAATTGACAGTGACCAGAGGGGAGAGGGAAGGGAGATAACCCGGGAAAGAAGGGGAAGGGCCAAGTTAAGGAACATGTACAAAGGACCCTGTATAAAGAATGTGGAAGGGGGCAGATTGGATGTGGGAGGTGGGGGTGGGTAAGGCAGGGGAGAGTAATGGGGACAACTGTAATAGAACAATAAAAGAATTTTAAAAATAAAATAAAATATGATTTAAAAAAAGGAATGCAAGAAACAGGATGATGGAAAGAAAGAATGGTAAATAGCTACCCAAATAGTAGTGTTTATGAATAACATAACCTCATCTTAGGCATCACCTTAATTTTGTCCCCTGACCTAAAAACTAAACTTTGATTCTTTTATCCTATAGATTAGACCACAAACTCCAAGCTGTAAAAGCACAGTTTAAACAACTAGACTTCACCAAGGATAATCTGACACAAAAATTTGAACATCATAGCAAGATGTTGGCAAGCCAAGCAGCCCAAGATGAGCTGTGGACAGCAGTTTTGGCACTCAAGTGAGTATCCAAGGGAAAAATCAGTGGAGTCCTGTGGCATTGTGAGAACTTACAATGGTCATTCTAAAATTGAATTTCTTAATATGGTTCCAGCAATGGATCATGAAGCGATCACATATTCTTAGGTTCATTCATTCAAAAAAGATTAATTGGAGATTAATCTGTTTACATGTCAGGCACTGTGGTACTCATCTCATCACAGTCTCTTGCTTGTCAAAGTCTTACAAATGCAGAGATGGACAATATAACTCCTCTGCAATTGAGAAACTTATAGTATGAGTAGCCAGAGAATTAAGGTATCCAGTTTAGTACAGGTCTTAATTTCTAAAGTATTTTCTGAAATAGAATAGTTGGTTCTCCTAGTGTGTTTGTACTTCTCTGAGTTATCCTAATAGTTGAACATAAAGTGTTCTACTGCTTTAGCAGCTCTTCCTTTTTTTGTAGGTTCACTTCAATGGAATTGAATATTATATATAGCTATGTCATTGAAGTACTCATCTGCTTGCACACTCGTGTACTTGAGAAGCTGCCAGACCTGGTAAGAGGTCTTCCCACCTTAGCCTCTGTCCTTAGACGAAAAGCCAAGAACAAGTGCATTAGAGGTGTGTGGGAGTCTGTGCTGGAGGAGTGTGGGCTGCAAGAAGGAGATATCTTAGCACTTTGTACCTTCTTTATTGCACACGGTAACAAGGCAGAACACTACAGTGCCAAAGTGAGACGGGTGTACATTAGGGATGCCACTTTCATGGTCACAAACATGGTAAAGAACCGGGCTCTGCAGGATAGTTTGCTGAGAGCTGTTCAGCTCATTGACAAGGGGAAAGCAGTGGCAGCCTCTGAAGAACAAAAGTCATCCCTAAAAGAGTTGATACCAACAGTCAAAAACTAACCTGTTACCTTATGACCTAGCTATTCTACTTTCAGTAATCAATCTTGCAAATGGGGAAGAATGTGTATATACAATTTTGTTATGGACTTATTTTTATAGCAAAAGTTGGGGGACTATTAGAGAAATTATGATAAATTGATACCATGGGTACTTTCTGTGTAGCCATGTGAAAATGAAGAATCTCTGTGTTATTATATAATGAATGATATGGGGTTATCACAAAGATGTGCTGTTTGAAAATATTTCCAATACATATTGTTAAATGTAAAAAGGGAGAAACACAAATACATACATACATATATATAAGCTAATATATCCAGAAAGTTTATAAACTTCTTCTGGAGAGTACATAAGAACGTGATAATATTGGTTGTCTTAGGGAAGGAAACTAGAGCTAGGGGATTAAAAGTAGGAGGAAGTCTTTTTACTGTTAATCCACATGTAGATTTTAAATGTTGAACAATGTGAATGTATTATCTATTAAAAGACAAAACCTCAATAAAAATTACCTAATACATATTGCATATGATATACATTTTCTCTCTAGTGCAGTTACACAGTTATTTATATTATATTTATAGAAAGGGAACTCACACACATTGCCCATATATTTATGATATTTATTGAATACCAAATGCCAAGTGCTAAGTGCCATAGGTTAAATGTTGATCCTTCATTTGGGAGGTACAAGTTCAGGACAGCAAGAATGAGGTAACACTCTCGAAGGATGTTAAGTAGAAAAGGATAAGAAGTCATACAAGAAGATATGTTACCTTGCTGTCCCCACATTGAAAATGAAACCACCACAAGAAACACAGAAGGTTACTTGGCAGATACATCCCTTCAATCTGATCTTTCTTTAGACATGCAGTTTGAAGAAACCATGCCTTGGGGGAAAAAAGAAAAAGGAAATTTCTCTGTTGTGCTTATTCAGTCCACTGTTTTCAGTCAGCCAGTTTGCTCCATGGGGAATGATACTCCATACTTCCAGGATGCAGGGTATAAGCCGTCCCATCAGCCACTGGAAAGTCAGAGCCTTCATTGTTCAGTGCAGTGTTTCACAGGAGTCTAAAAGTGGCAGGAGGAGACAGAGATGCCAGGAATGTAACTCGTCAGCCCCAGGCAGACCAAAGGACAGTGGGTCCAGAAAGTATTCAAGGCCAAGGAAATCTGAGAAAGCATATAAAATGTATCTATTAGAGAAGATTTCTAAGAATGGAATCAAAATGCAAAATTAGCCCTGGAAGGTGTGGCTCAGTTGGTTGGAACATCATCCCATAACTGGAAGGTTGCAGATGTGATTCCTGGTCAGGTCACATAACTAGGTTGTGGGTTCAGTCCCAGGTCTGGGCACATACTATCCCCCGTCCAGGCACAAGTGATCTCCATCCTAGGTGTGTTTGGTAGGCAACCAATTGATGTTTCTCTCTCACATCAATGTTTTTCTCTCTCCCTTCCTCTCTAAAAAGCAATGAAAAAATTTCCTTGGATGAGGTAAAAAAAATTTTAATGCAAGAACTAAGTAAGATTATGATAAAAAGCCACTGTCACTAAGGGATATACGATTTGGGTGAGTTCAAAGGATTATCACTGTGTGATGGAGGAATACTTCCTAAAAAAAGTGCACTGAGTTGATCCTTGAAGTAGGCAAATCACAAACCACTCATTTAGGATGGATTGAGAAAGCAATGACCTGAAAGCACAAGATGACAGCAAATAGAACATAGTTGAATGTCTCAAAGAGTAATGCAAGATTCCATGGGAGAAGCCATTTGGAATCATCATATGGAGCTTTAATTATGGGCTTATGTATTGATACTATGGACCAACTGGTTGGCAACCAAAGGTTTCTGAACCTGTATTAAAACAAAACAAAGCTCTCTACCGAGGACCTACACTTCTTTGTTTTGGCTCCATCTGGGAAGCCACCCATTTCCCCAACCTGAATGACTTTAGCAAAGCCAGAAAACTTTAAAGAGTATTTTCATGCACAGTGGTTTTCTTTTCTCTTCCTCTACGGTTGATTTCCTCAAAAAACTCAGGCCTGGTTCTTCCCCCCACCCCCATTTTTTTTTTATTTTGATAAAGTACACATAAAATTTACCATCTTAACTAGTTTTGTTAGGCAGAATAGATAGCAAACAAGGCAGGGAGGGGGAGGGAGATGTGTCTTGCTTGCTAACTCAGTAGTCCTGAGCCTGGTCAAATAAGATTGCCAAGTGTTTTGAAAATCACAAAAGAAGTCATGACAGCATAGGAGAACGGGAACCTTTGGAATTCGTGTGCATGATTTCCACTATCTAAGAGAGAAAGCCTTTGGAACTGTATGTTGATTGCAAGGTCCAGAGAAGGGAGGAGGACAGGAACCCAGAAGCTAGCTACAAGCATAAAACCCCTAAAACTCCAAGAGTCAGGGCACTCAGACTAGCTAGGTGCCCACTTGCAGTTTCATGCTCAAGTGCATTTCATAAATACACTTGCTATCTTATTTCAACTATATGTGTTGTCTCTTGCCTGAATTCATTTCTCCCAAGTGAGACAAGAACTGAGGGGGAGGAGACCCCTAACTCAGGTATGCCCAGTAACAGCTTCAAGTGATCAGTTCAGTGGTATTAAATATTCATAATGTTGTGTAAATGATGGGAGAACTCAAAAGTTAAAGATTTTAGCTTCATGGCGGCAGGGGTGCATAAGGGGACTAATAATGGAGAAAATATAATAAAGAGTATATATGAAAAGATTTTACCTTCAGTCATAGTTAATAGGCTTAAGTGACTTTTTAAAAAAGATTTTATTTATTTTTTTAGACAGAGGGAAAGGGAGAGAGAAAGAGAGAGAAACATCAATGTGTGGTTGCCTCTCACGCATCCCCAGTTGGGAACCTGGCCTGCAACCCAAGCATGTGCCCTGACTGGGAATCAAACCAGCGACCCTTTGGTTTGCAGGCCAGCACTCAGTACACTGAGCCACACCAGCCATGGAAATAGGCTTAAGTGATTAATGCATGTGAAAAGCTGTTATTCCAGAGCTGGTATGACCTATGGGACTCCAGAGTGTTGACAATCAACTCAACCTTTGTGCCCCGGGAGGTCTGCAAGTGATCCAGATGGTATCTGAGCCATTGTGTTCCAGGAAGGAAAGGTGCATGACATATAAAAAAAATTGTTGATGAGCAGATAAAGAAATACTAGGACAATTGCCACTGGATTGCAACTCTTTTCTGATTAACTTTTTTCCAAACCCTTTACCTACCCTTTCCTTATCCCTATAAAAAACATTAGCTGGAGATGAGATGTGCAGATGGCTTTTGAGAGCACATAACCTGCCATCTTTTCAGATTGCTGGCATCTGAATAAAGCGCCCATAAAGATTCAATCCTTGTCTCTACTTACTGGTTCTGGTAGTGACAGGCAGCACAAACATCAATTTTTCCAGTTTCGTAATTGTCACCATCATCCATCTCTAGAACTTATAAAACTGAAATTCTATATCCATTAAACAATAACTCTCCCGCTCCCTGGCAAACAATGTTCTATTTTTTGTCTCTATGAGGTGCTGACATAAGAACATCTAAAACTGTGAAGAGTTTTTATAAGTTTATTTGAGCCAAATCGAGAACATATGCCAAGGAGCAAGACCTCAGATGCCCCAGAGAGTAACAGTTTTGCAGCTCCTTTTACGTATTTGAAATTAAGGAGGGAACAGTAAAGATTTCATGAAGGCAGGAGAAAGCTAGGCAGGTACTGGATTGCAGGATAGTTAAGATTATGTGCTCTAGACGGTAGTCACAGCTATCTCAAAAGTGAGTTAGCCTAGATGCACAGAAACAATGGACATTGCTTACTTAAGACAAAGATAAAATCTTTTAGTAAAAAGATATATGCCTAGGGTGGGACTACCCACCGCGACCTGCATTAGGAATTTATGATCAGATCATCCTGTGAGGTCACTTCCAATAGAACCCTTTTTTTCATCCACAGAGGCTTGGTTCTAAAGTTCTAAGGATCACAGTCTTAATTTAATCTGCCATTTCCCAGCCAAAATATATTTTTCATAGCACTCAATTCAATGGAATAAATTGTCGGTACAAGCACTTAATGCCAAATTAAAAAAACTCATTTCAAAATGCATAAAATGTTAAACTATTTTGTTTTGGCCTCCTTGTAATTTTGATTCTTCTAGATTGATTTAATAACAGATATATCATATACGATGCACAGGACTACCGAGCTTTAGGAGAGACAGCCCTGCAATTCGGTCCCCAAGTCCTTAGAAGGGAAGGCAATCCTAAAACAACCAATCTTTGAGCAGCAGGCTTAAGAAGGGAATGCGCTACGAAAGGAAGTGTAAGTGTCTCTATAAATTGTAGAAGTTTGCCGGTTCGCTGAGCACAACCTTTTTTTTGGAGATCAGTCTCGGAACTTTGAATAGCAGTCTAAGAGGCTTCGTTACAAGTTAACAGAAACAGAAAGGTAGTTTGAGGAGTACTGGAGGAAGAATTTAAAAAATTTGCTTGGAGGTTTCCCTTTTCTGTCCACGGACTACAATTCCAGGTTTCTGCAACCTCCGAGAGCTTAATGCACCCAAGCTAAAACAGGAAGTGCTACAACACTGCAGCTGAGCCCTCCTGGAAGTGGTGCCCCGATGGGCGGTGCAACCTTGGATGGTGTTAACGATGGGTGCGCTCAAGCCCCCGGAAGTCCCGCCCCCAAAGTCCCGCCCCACAGGAGGTCCTTGGTCTCTGTCATTGGGCGGTTCTCTGAGAGGGCGGGGCCCGTTTCGGCGGGCAATTGTGACGTCACTAGCCCTTGGAGGGTTACTACGGCACCACCGCAATGATTAAGCTTTTCGGACCTAAAAAGAGGGGAGGGGTGGTCTCAGAGCTGCCGGAGACGCCGGAAAGCTGGAGCGCCAGGGTTCCTGTACTCCCCTCATAGCAAAACGGTAAAACGGAAATCCTGTTCCAGCGGAGCCAGCAGTCCGGGTGGAAGCGGTGTCCCTGAGGCTACACTCTGGGCAGCAAAGGGAGCATCCTCGCCTGGTAAGAGGGAGAAGAGAAACTTGCCGCGTACCTCCCGTGGTGCTAAAGACTGGAGCCCACCAGCTGCGCTGCAGAAACTGCTAATACCTCGGAGCAGCGGGAACGTTCATTTATTTTCTTACCAGACTTTTGTCTTAAACATGGGCAAACACACCGCCTTCAGAGTTGTGTTTACCTGGTCCACAAGGGCGCCTTTTGCTTGAAGATATGTTTGATGCTTCCAGTATCTGAATTCTGATAGCTGCTTGGCATAATATTTAAAGAAAACTGTTAATTTGCTTTCTCCTTGATTGGGCCGGAAATACTATTTTTTGTCTTTCGGATGTTGATGTTGACTATGCCTTTTTAGCATATTGAAATGGCTGTACCGAAAGACGGCATCCCTTCCTTGTCGGAATGCCAGTGCGGGATCTGCATGGAAATTCTGATTGAGCCCGTAACACTGCCTTGTAAGCACACAGTCTGTAATGCATGCTTCCAGTTGACTGTGGAAAAGGCGAATTTATGCTGTCCCTTCTGTCGTCGCCGGGTCTCTTCGTGGACCCGGTACCATACCCGAAGAAATTCTCTCATCAATAAGGAACTGTGGGAGATAATTAAAAAGCACTATCCAAAGGAATGCAAGCTTAGAGCCTCTGGGCAAGGATCAGAAAAAATCGGTGAGTAAAACCCAGCGTGTTTGTTGGCTGAAAAACCAAAATCCTTTAAAAAGTGAATCACTGCTAATCCATTTTTTTAAAAGGCTAAAAAATAAAGCCCGAATAGTATTTGTCTAAATTATTAACGGTGGCGGGGGTAGGGGGTTCTTTGGGCCCGAAAGTCAGTTGCAAGATGGCTTTGTTCAATTGGTGTTTGTTGGATTAAAAATGAAAAAGAAAAAAATCAAAAGAATTGCTCGCGTAGAGTCTTTATTATGATTTGTATAAACGTTCAGATGAGTTATAGTGGTAGTGCAACAACAACAGAGGTAAAGAAACTACTGGATTCTTGTGTTAGTATTTCTTTTACTTTCAATTACTTTCTCTAACTTACTTGCTGATACATCTCCATCTTAAGCATGCATTGAGCCTAAAATAGCTTTCTGTGACCAGTTCCCTCTGGTTAGGCCATTTTTATTTTAAAGTCCTCCACAGTGTAGACTCAGCAGCTATTGAGTATGCCCCAGATGGAACAGTTGACTGTAGCATCTTGATTACTTATGTGGATCAATAAGCTATGCAAATGTTCCTTGTTTCAGTGTGGCGACTGTGCTCAGGTGTACATGCCTTTTTGTTGTTGTTGTAATTATTTTTATTGTAGTAAATCTATATAAAGCAAATTTTGCTGTTTTAATCATTTTTAACAGTTATCTTTTATTAAAACTGCTTTATTGAAATATTCACATACAATGGATCCATTTATAGAGTACACTTCAATGATTTTGGGTATTTTACATTATAGTTGCAAGATTATAATTATGGTAAAATATATAACATAAAATTTGCTCTTTTAACCACTTGTATTTTTTATTTTAACCATTTAAAATTTTTAAAAAATGTATTGGCTTTAGAGAGAGGGAGAGGGTAGGAAGAGAGAAACATCAATTTATTGTTCCACTTATTTAAGCATGCTATGGTCTTGTCTTGTGTGTGCCCTGACCAGTGATTGAACCCACAACCTTGTCATAATAGGAGAACACTCTAACCAACTAAACTACCTGGTGAGGGCTTATTTTAACCACTTTTAAGGGTACAATTCAGTGGCATTAATTACATTCACAATGTTGTGCGAGCTTTACCACTGGCTGTTTCTAAAACACTTTTATCATCCTTGATTTTTTTAACCATTAAGCAGTGACTCCCCATTCTCTCCCCACCTTTCTAATCAACATTTTCTGTTATGAATTTTCTTATTCTAGATATTATATAAGTGTGTTCACATACAATATGTGATCTGTTATGTTTGGCTTGTTTCACTTTGCATAATGTTTCCAAGGTTCATGCACATTGTAGCATGTGTCAATATTTTGTTCCTGCCTTGGCTGGTGTGGCTTAGTGGATTGAGTGCAGGCGTTCTGGCTTCCCAGCCTGCAAACCAAAAGGTTGCCAGTTTGATTCCCAGTCAGGACACACGCCTGTGTTGCGGGCCAAGTCCCCAAACTGATTGATGTATCTCTCTCTCTCACATCGCTATTTCTCTTGCTCTCTTTCTCCCTCCCCTCTCTCTGAAAATTAATAAATAAAACCTTAAAAAAAAGACTTTATTCCTTTTTTATGCTGTTTTGAATCTTGATAGACTGTGTCTTTTTCTTTTTTTTTAACTTACTTTTAGAGAGAGGGGAAGGGAGGGAGAAAAGGGGAGAGAAACATCAATAGGTTGCTTCACATGTGCCTCAACCAGGACCCAACCTGTAACCCAGGCATGTGCCCTGGCTGGGAATTGAAACCAAGACCTTTCGCTTTTCAAATGACACCCAACCAACTGAGCCACACTGGTCAGGGCTATTTTATGGATATATTTTATCTGTCTCTTCATCCACTGACAGACATTTGGGTTGTTTCCACCTTTTGGACAAGTATTTGAATATGTTTTCAGTTCTTAATTGCTGGGCCATATGGTAATTCTACGTTTAGCTTTTTAAGAAACTGCCAAACTTCACATGGCTACACCATTTTACATTCTCACAAGCAATGTAAAATAATGATTCCACTTTCTTGTTCTTTTTCTTTTGTTTCCCCCATAACCATCCTAGTAGGTGTGATGTGGTATCTTAGTGTGTTTTTTTAATTGTGGTAAAATGCATAACAAATTTACCATTTTAACCACTTTTAAGTACAGTTCAGTGGCATTAAGTACATTCACATTGGTTTGTAATCAGCACCACCATCTATCTCCACAATTTTTCATCTTCCCAAACTGAAACTCCATATCCATTAAACAAAAAGTATTAACATTTTCTATACTTGCTGTGTCACTATCCATTAGTCTTATTTTTTTCATTTCTTTTACTTCCTCTTAAATTTATAAGTATACATATTATTAGACACCATGATTAGATTATATTTTTTCTTTTAAGGTAAGATTCACACATAATGAGTGAGATGCACAAATCTTCATTGTACCTTCAGTGAGTGTTCACACATACATAACCCTTTGTAATACAGACTTCTGTAGTACAGAACATTACCATCACCCCTGAAAATTCCCTCATGTCCCTTCCTGTTAATTCCTGCTCCCATACCCCAAGAGTCAACTACTGTTTTTCTTTTTTTCCTACAATAGATAGTTTTGTTTGTTCTAGAACTTCATATTGCAATATAAATGGAATTCTAGTTTTCTGGGTTTGCCATAACAAAACACCACAAACTAGGTAACTTAAAATAACACAAAATTATTTTCTTATAATTTTGGAGCTTAAAAGTCCAAAATCAGGATGTCAGTAGGGACATGTTCTCTTTAATTTTTGTTAAATTACAATTTACATTCAGTATTATTTTGTATTGGTTTCAGGTACACAGCATAGTGGTTAGACAGTCATACTTTACACAGTGATCTCCCTGATATTTCCAGTACCCACCTGGCACCATGTACAGTTATTACACTATTACTGACTATTTCCTCTGCTGTACTTTATATCCCCATGACTGTTTTGTAATTACCAACCTATACTTTTCAGTCTCTACACCTTTCCCCCAAATCTCCTTCCCTCTGGCAACCATTAGTCTAGTCTGTTCTTTGTATCTATGAGTCTGTTTGTTTTGTTTGTTCATTTATATTGTTCTTTAGAGTCCACATAGAAATGAAATCATATGGTATTTGTCTTTGATTGACTGATTTCACTTAGCATAACACCCTCCAGGTCCATCAGTGCTGTTGCAAATGGTAAGATTTTGTTCTTTTCTATGGCACAGTAATATTCCATTGTATGTATGTACCAAGCTTTTTTATCCACTCATCTATTGTTGGACACTTGGGTTGCCTCCAAAGCTTCGCTATTGTATAACGTTGCAGTGAATGTAGGGGTGCATATATTCTTTCAAATTAGAAGTGGAATTGCTTGGCCATAAAGGTGTTCCATTTTTAAATTTTTGAGGAGCCTCCATACTCTTAGTGGGAATGCAGTGGCTGCACCAATCTGTATTCCCACTAACAGCACACGAGGGTTCCCTTTTCTCCACATCCTCACCAACACTTGTTTGTGAATTTATTGATGATGGTCGTTCTAACAGGTGTGAGGTGATAGCTCATTGTGGTTTTAATTTGCATTTCTCTTACAATTAGCAACATTGAGCATCTTTTCATATGTTTCTTGGCCATCTGTATGAGGGACATGTTCTCTTGAAGAGTCTAGGGTAGAATCTGTTCCACACCTTTCTCTTAGCTTCTGGGTGTTGTTGCCAGTCCATGGTGTTCTTAGCTTGCAGCTGCATCGCTCTAGTCTCTACCTCTAAGTCACATGGCCTTCTTTCAGTGTGACTCGGTCTTAACATGGCCATTTCTTCCATTTTCTCTGTCTCATTCTTATGATGACACCAGTGATACTGAATTAAGGACCCACCCTACTCCAGGATGAACTCAACTTAATTACATCTCCAACAACCCTGTTTCCAAATAAGGTCACATTCTTGGGTACAGGGGCTTAGGATTTAGAGTAATCTTGGAGAGAGAGAGAGAGAGAGAGAGAGAGAGTTTTTAAAGATTTTATTTGTTTGTAGAGAGGAGGGAAGGGAGGGCAAAAGAGAGGGAGAGAAACATTGATCATTGCCTCCAACAATGGAAGAAACATTGCCTCTTGCATGCCTTCAACCGGGGACCTTACCTGCAACCCAGGCATGTGCCTTGACTGGGATTTGAACCAACGACACCTTTCTGTTTGTTGTATGATGCCCAACTTAACCACAGCAATCAGGGCCGCTGAGCCAGGACTCTTACAGCAATGCCTGTTATTTTGTGCAAGGTTCTTTTAGTCAGTATAAAGTTTAAGATTCCTCCTTGTGTTATGGGTGTTACTGGTTGGTTGGTTGATTGGTTGGTTGGTTGGTTGATTGGTTGGCTTTTTAAAATCCTCACCAAAGGAGATGTTTTTATTGATTTTAGAGAGAGAGGGAGAGAAAAAAACATCGATCAGTTACCTCCTATATACACCTCAATTGAGGATTGAACCCACAACCTAGGCATGTGCCCTGACCAGGAATTGAACCTGCAACCTTTTGGTGCACCGGACAAAGCTCCAACCAACTGAGCCACCTGGCCAGGGCAGGGTATTACTAGTTTAGTTCTTATTTTTGAGTATCATTTTACTGTTTGACTATATTATACTTTGTTGGCTGTTCTACAGTTGATGGCACCTCAGCTGTTTCCAGCTGTGAAAATTCTTGTGTAAGTTTTTTATGGTCATATGTTTTCATTTTTTCTTGTGTAAATATTTAGTGGAATTGCTCGGTCATAGAGTAGGTGTATGTTTGGTTGCATAAGAAACTACCAGATCATTTTCCAAAGGTGTTGTATTTTCTAATCCCAGCAATAATTTACAGTTGATCCTTGAACAATGGGTCCACTTAATATGCTGGGTTTTTTCAATAACACCTGTACTGTTTCAGTTGCTGTTGGGAATTGGTGGGTGTGGAGGGCCAACTGTATGCATTGCTCTACACCATTTTATATAGGGACGTGAGCATCCTTGGATTTTGGATCCATGGAGTATCCTGTAACTAAGGAATGGAAGAGTAATTTTATAAACAGCTTAATTCAAGTTCAAGTTAGGTTTTACTATTTTTATTTTTGGTCCAGTATTGGACACTGAGTTTTTTAATTAACTTGGTTTTTTTTCCTTCAGAATAAAATAAAAAGTATGGGGATAAATTCCTTCTAATGAATTCTTTTTTCTCTTCCTTGGATTATCTTTTTATTAAGAATTTCTTAATGTTAGCTATTTTTACTTTTTACTTTGTTAAATTTGCTTTTTTAATAAAAAGAAACTTAAAGTCTCCCCTTTTCCAATTGTTTACGACTCTTTACTATTTAACCCCTACCCCCATTCCCAAACACACACATAGGAACAGAATTTTATTTCAGAACTTTAATAGTTAGGAATATACTAAGGCAGGGGCTGTCCAACTGTGGTTCCCAGGCCAAATTTGGCCCACATCTTCTTTTGTGAATGAAGTTTTCTCGTAGGTTAATGTAGAACACAGGCACTACATTCGTTCATCTATGCCTGTGACTGCTTTTGTGCTACAGTAGCAAAGTTGAGTGACTGTGACAGAGACCGCAGAGCCTACGAAACAAAGTATTTATTATCTTGCTCTTTATAGGAAAAGTTTGCCAACCTGTAAGCTGTCACCTCTGATACTATACTAGCTCTCTGCACATGGTTTATCCTTTGTTAGATGTGCTGTGATAGAAGTGCTGTCCCTTTCTCTCTTCCTGGGCTTTTTTCTAGCCCTTCCTATTTTTTCAGGGGTCTTAAATGTCTCTCCTATATTTTCCCTATATTGTCTCAAACAGATCCTCTTTGATGGCTCAAATAAATAAGAATTTAGCATACTCTATCCTACCTTTTATTGCAGTTACATCACTGTTTTTAGTTCCTCTATTTCAGAATTTGCAAACTGCTGGCATACAGTCCTTAAAAAGCCTTTAGGCATATTTTCTGTGACCTACTTAGTGCCAACCTTTAAAATTGGGAGACTGTACATTAAAATATAGATTTATGGGTTGTCTTGAAAAAACAATATGGCAACAATGGACCTAAGTTTCCTGATAAGTTTCCTGGAGTTGAGTAACTAACAGCTGCCCATTTAAACAGGCAGTTGTGTTCCCTTGTTTTGGATTTAACTCTAGGGAGACTCCTCCTCTCTTTGTATAGCTTAGTGTTTCTCTTTAATTCTGTTGGTTTATTTCAAGTGTCTCATGATCCTTGGTTTTGCTTTCATATTTAAAAATAAGGCCCTAGAGCCCTGGCAGTGTTTGGTAGAGCATTGTCCAGATTTGCCAAGGTTGCGAGTTTGATCCCAGCCAGGCCACATACTCCCATACACGTACAAAAATCAACTAATGTATGCGTAAGTAAGTAAAACAGCAATTGATATTTCTCTCTCTCTCTCTTTCTCTCTCTCTTTCCCCCTCCCTCCCTCCCTCTCTCACCCTTCCTCATTCCTTCTCTCTACAATAAATAAAAATAAAAATAAAAATGAGGCCCTAGAAAAAAGCTCTGTGCACATGTGTCAAAACTGGTGACTGGCAGAAATTTAGGTTAAGCAGATGGAAACCTGGCCATTATACTTTGCCACTCCAATTGCTGGATGTCAAAAGGCTTTGCTCTGGGTCACTATCTCTTATATTAGCTGCACTGGATCTACCCAGACAATTCAGTTTCTTTAAAAAGTAAACTTTGAATGTATATATGTGCATTTATATTTCCAGGAAGAAATGCCAACCAGCCAATTATTCTACTTCCATAGTTTATAGCTTTGAGTTCTGTGTCCCACACTTATTCACTCTGCACTGTACTCATATTATACTTTATATTTCTGAGCCTAAGCTGCTCCTCAGGTGTATGACTCAGATCTCCTCCCACTTAGGCTATAGCCTTCCAAGGGCTACATTTCCCTGTAGTCCGCTGCACCATTCATCGCTCTTATGTTGGCTTCCTGTTTTCTACAAATTTGTTAAGTTTTTTGTTTACCGATTGACCCTTTCCCTGATCTCTTTGCCATGTAGGATTACTTTCTTTTTATCCCTTTACTGTTATTTTAATGGAATGTAGAGAAAGAATTAAGTATACATATTCATGTGTCATTTTAAACATCTAGTTTTTCTTTTAAAATGAAACTCCTTAAAGAGGATATTGCTGTAGCTTTTAATAATTGTACAATTTATTTTAACTTTGTTTTTATATTAATATGGTTTTTAAGTATATTTTATTGGTTATGTTGTTACAGTTGTCCCATTTTTTCCCCTTTGCCCCCCTCCACCCAGCACCCCTTTTCCCTCCAGCATCCCCCGCCCCGCCTTAGTTCATGACCATGGGTCGTGCATATAAGCTATTTGGCTTCTCCATTTCCTACTCTATTCTTATCATCCTATTTTGTACCTACCAGTTATGTTTCTTAATCTGTACATTTTTCCCCATTCTCCCCCCCTCCACCCTGCTGATAACCCTCCATGTGATCTCCATTTCTATAATTCTGCTCCTTTTCTAGCTTTTTGCTTAGTTTCTTTTTGCTTTTGTTTGTTTGGGTTCAGTTGTTGATAGTTGTGACTTTGTTGTCATTTTAATGTTCATAGTTTTGATCTGCTCTTTCTTAAGTCCATTTCACATTTCATGTAAGAGTCTGGTGATGATGAAGTCTTTTAGCTTTACCTTGTCTGGGAAGCACTTTATCTGCCCTTCCATTCTAAATGATAGCTTTGTTGGATAGAGTAATCTTGGATTTTTGTCCTTGCTTTTCATGACTTCGAATACTTCTTTCCAACCCCTTCTTGCCTATAAAGTTTCCTTTGGGAAATCAGCTGATAGTTTTATGGGAACTCCTTTGTAGGTAATGCTTTTCTTTTCTCTTGTTGCTTTTAATATTCTCTCTTTATCATTAACCTCTGGCATTTTAATTATGATGTGTCTTGGTGTGGCCCTCTTTGGATCCACCTTGTTTGGGATTCTCTGTGCTTCCTGGACTTGTGTGTGTTTTTCGTTCGCCAAATTAGGGAAGTTTTCTGTCATTATTTTTTTCAAGTAAGTTTTCGATTTCTTGCTCTTTCTCTTCTCCCTCTAGCACCCGTATCATTTGGAGATGTACCAGTGTCTTATTCTCTCCTCATTTGCTTTTTTTTTTTTTTGAATTCTTGTTTCTTCATTCTGTACTGGTTGACTATTTATTTCTTCCTTAAGTTCCAAATTGTTTATGTGAATCCTGGCTTTCTTCCCTTCACTGTTGGTTCTTTGTGGATTTTTCTTTATTTCACTTAGCATAGTCTTCATTTCTTCCCTTATGCACTTGCTGTACTCAGTGAGTTCTCTGAGCATCCTTATCACCAGTGTTTTGAACTCTGCATCTGATAGGTTGGCTGTCTCCATTTTCACTTAGTCCTTTTTCTGCAGTTTTGATCTCTTCTTTCATTTGGGCCATATTTCTTCATCTCCTCAATTTGGCAGCCTCCCTGTGTTTATTTCTGTATATTAGGTAGAGCTGCTTTGACTCCCTGTCTTGGTGTCCCTGTTATATTGTAAGGAGCAGAGCCTTAGGTGTTCACCAGGGTGGGGCTTTACTGCTTTGTGGTGCTGTCTGTGGCGGGCGGCAGGGGGCCAGTCAGAGAGGGAGCAATGCTGCTTGTTCACATCTCATCCCCTTTCCTGTCATTTCCCCCACTTCTCATATGCAACTGGCACCCTTCTAGCTTCTGCCCTGGTGCTGAAACCCCAGGTGGGTAGGGGTTTCATATGCTAGAAATGTGTGGGTTCTTTAAGAGGACTCTCCCGAGAGACTGGCAGTTTATTCCAACACCCCAACCCCACTGGTTTTTACAGCCAGAAGTTATGGGGCTTTGTTTCTTGACACTGGAACCCTGGTCTGCGTGGTCTGGCTTGGTGCTGGTGTCACTGGCCCCTCAGGTTTCCCTCCCAGTTTTCATCTGCCCAGTGTGAATGTGGGGCCACCCCTCCTGCTGGCCGCTGCTGTCACTGCCTCGCCACTGCTGCCTGGCTGCAGCCACACGGTGTCCTCTCTGCTGTCGCTCCCCATCACCGCCTCTCATACCCACTTGGGTGAATGTTTCTTCTTTAAATCCTTGGTTGTTGGACTTCCATACAGTTTGCTTTTCTAGAAGTTCTAGTTGTTTGTTTTGAAGTTAGTTGTGATCCTTCTTATGGTTGTGCGAAGAGGCAAAGCTTGTCTACCTACGCCTCCATCTTGGCTGGATCTTACTAATGCAGTATTAATGGAAGACAAAGCAAGCTATTAAATTCAGTGTTGCCTCTTTTAATTATTTCCTTTCTTAATCTGAAACAGTTGACGACTCTCGGCCAGTTCATCTGTTAAGTAAACCCGGGGAATTGAGAAGAGAATACGAAGAGGAGAAAAGCAAGGTAGGAACTTAATAGTTATTCCTTTTTGGAAAAATTCTCTGCTGTGTTTTCAGTTTCACATTTTACATACAGTTTTATGTGCTTATATAAATAGTACATATGGAAATGTAAACAATTTTAATGTACTTTTAAAAGGCTCCATTTTTTAGATGTTTATTGTAGTTACAAACTAGCTTTAATTTATTTATGCATGATTGTTGCTCTTATGTGATAGATATCCCTAAGCATTTTCATTTCCTAGAAGCTTTGAGCTTAAAGGATAGAAAAATTGTGGTAGATTATGGGTTTTTTAGTCCATTAAGGGTGCTATAACAAAAATTCCATAGACTAGCAGGCTTGAACAACAAACATTTCTCACAGTTCTGGAGGTTGGGAAGTCCAAGAGCGAAGGCATTGGGAGCTCTAGTGAGAGGGAGAGGGCAATAGGAAGCGGAGGAGAGAGGACAGAGACGGAGAACGGGGTGGGGCGGAGGTGACAGAGAGAGTGAGAGAAGAGACAGTGGGGGAGACAGAGGAACAGAGACAGGCCATCTTTCTTGTTTCTCATCTTACGAAGGTTTTAATGCCATTATCCTATTCATTAGGACTTGACCCAGTTACTTCCCAAAGGCCTCACCTTCAAATACCTTCACATTGGAAATTGGGACTTCAACAGATGAATTTGGGGGGATACAACAATGAGTTTAGATGAGGAAAGTATAAAATAGATCTCATTGTGAATTACCTAAAGAGAAAAAGAGGACGCAGCGCTTACAGTAGTGCTTTGAACTTCACTAGCGCTAGGGGAGAGCCCTGGTGCCCCCTGCCCTCCTGCTTCGGGTGGAGAACTGTTGTCCAGTAGAAAGACATTGTGAGCCTACATACAATTTTCATTTTTCTGTTGGCCGCATTTAAAAAAAATTGTTTCTAAAAAATGAAATTAATTTTAATTTATATAACCCATTCTATCTAAAATATTTTATCAACATAAAAGTATTAATTATATAAAATTATAATTATATATTAACTATAATTATATATCACAATGTGATTAAGCATTATTATATAAAGTTATATAAAAATTGATCATGAGATTTTACATTATTTTTGCTTATTTAGTCCTCAGAATCCTTTGTACTTATAGTACATATTGCTCTGGTCTAGTAACATTTCAAGTGCTCAATAATGTAGCTGGTGGCTACTATATTGGACCATGCAATTCTAGAAGAACCAATACCCAATAAAAAATTATGATAAACACTGTCTAAGCAGTGTTCTTAAGTAAGGGTTTTAAAGGAATAGTTTAATACTTATACAATAGTGAAAACAGGCTTTGTTTTGACTGCAAATAAAAGTAAAACCTAACTTAAACTACCTTAAATAATAAGATTATAATTATTTGGAAGGTCAGAGGTAGGGGCTTCGGGGGTAGTTTCATCTAGAGTTCTAGCTCCAATCTTCGCTAATGACTTTTATTTATCTTCAGACTAATAGCATGATGGCTGCACCATTCTAAACCTGTTTTCTCATGGGATTGGATCAAGGACTTCTACTTGAGTCAAATCCTTTGAAATTCTAAAATGGTTCTTGTTTGTTTGTTTGTTTTCAGGAGAAGTGTAGTTTAAATGACCATAAGCATGGCCTTACACCCTATAATCAGAGTTTGAGTCTCTACTCTGCCACTTACTGCTTTAAAAAAGTTATTTGCTTTTCCTTGTCTGTTTCTCTATTTGTAAATCAGGTACTAACCATTGTGGTTGTTTCTTCAGCTCTCACACTACTCCTGTCCATTGTGTTTGGGGATTCTGGCAAACTTCAGGGATGTTAGTCTAAGTCAGTTTTTGTCGTTACATTCCATTTGCTAGGGTTTAGTTCAGGAACCCGGCCTAAGTTAGTCAGCACGTGGCATTCTGTTAGCTGAAGAAAAGTATTACCTGGAAACAGGTCCACAAATGAGTGACAGTGTAGTGGAAAGTGTGATTGAGACTGAGGCTCGGGGGGTGAGGGTTTGATTAGGGTTTCATTGGGCTGATTGGGGAAGGCTTCATGAAAGAGACTCTTGAATTGTTCTGTAGGAATTTGCCTCTCCAGATGTGTACTTCATTTGAGATATTTTAATTCCTGCCAGTTTGTTCATTTTTTAAAATTTATTGTTCTTACTAAGAAATATTGCAGGTATACTAAAAAGTTCAGAGAAGGATTGTTCTGTATTAATCATTTTTAAGGTGGAGGCAGAGCGACGAGCCAATGAGGAAGAAGAAAACAAAGCCAGTGAAGAATACATACAGAAATTATTGGCAGAGGAGGAAGAAGAAGAAGAAAGACAGGCAGAAAAAAGGAGAAGAGAGATGGAAGAACAGTTGAAAAGTGATGAAGAACTGGCAAGAAAACTAAGCATTGATATTGTAAGTTTTAGGAGAGAACTTTAAAGTATCAATATTTCTATTGCTTTGACTACGTGATTTTCAAAGGTTCAAAAAAGTGTTCCCCTTAACTATAAGCTTTCTATTTGCTCTGCTTAAAAACTTTTACATATTTTTGCAGTTTTTGCATATTGTTACATATGTACTCTAATCCAAGTATACTTCTTGAAACTTTTTACATGTTATTAGTAAATTCAAGTTATGTAGGGAGGCTATTCAGTGAAAAATCAAAGCTTCCTTTCCTGCCTCCCACGCCTTCACGTCCATTCTGTTCCATTACATTAGTCCCTTTCTCCAAAGGTTAGCACTATTAAGAGTCTCTCATAACTGTTTTTTTTCCAGTCACCTGAAAAGGATTTATCAGTCACACTGTTTTTTCCCTTGGATTTTTTCGCTTGGTATATTTTATTGAGATTTTATTTTGGTATTACTACATATAGCATGTCTAATTTTTAAGAGTGGCATAATATTCCATTATATGGATATAAATCATTTTCAGAAAGTGAAGCACAGGCTACTGCCTGTGGAGTAGCCACTCTCTGTCTCACGGCTTCACTAACAAACTCACTGTACACCAAAAAAAAAAAAAAAAAAAAGTGAGGCACATTAAGTCCTTCATATATTAAATCCAGATTTAATTATCTTGTTGTAGTTTAATTACTACTTAGAGGAAAATGAATGAAAGAATGATAAAACACATACTTTAAGACTTAAAGAATACAGTGGGACCCAGTAATTTGAAAGAACCTGGCAGAATTACCCGGGGAATTCTTTGAAAATATAAATTTCCATACCTATTCTAAATCTATTGAATCAGAGCCTCTGGGGTCGGGACTTAGGGAATATCATTCCCAGAGGCATCTAGGGAAGTCTGATGTGCATTTGGGTTTGTAAGCCTCTAAAAACAATTACTCTGCTTTCAAACAATAAATATGTTGAAGTAGTAAATACAAACTACAACGAAGTATATCCAGAGTATCTTTTTTGAGAGGCCTACTGTTCATAATAATATATCCAACTTTTAGATTGTATGTCCTTTTTCATCATTTTTTAAAAAATTTAAGTAGAAAAGCTTTATAAAGGTACACGATGGGAAATTAAATAAAAGACATTGACTGATAGAATAACAAATGGGATAACAAAGAAAATACAGGAGTGGGCAAAGTGGGTTTATATAGTACAAATAAGTAATACAATAATACATAGTGCAAGAATAATCTGTTTTGCATACAACTGTGAACCCACTTTTGTTCCTGTATTTCAAAAAGGAGAATCTTTACTTGTCTTCAAAGAGACATTGTTGTAATCCTCATTTCACGTGGGATTATGAGAGTAGATTTATTAATATTTTAGAATAATTTTTTGTTTACTTGTGCAAGTTCAATGGTCCAAGGCCAAGTATCTACCACCAGCAGATATATTCATTTTTTCAAATAGTGTGTAAGACATTTATGCCCTGACCGGTGTGACTCAGTGGGTCGGGCATTGTCCTGCACAGCGGAAGGTCACCAGTTTCGCAGTCAGGGCACCTGCCTGGGCTGCAGTTCATCCCTGGCCAGGGCACATGCAGCAGGTCAATAGATGTTTCTTTCCCTTTCTTTCTCCCTCCTTTCCTCTCTCTCCAAAAATAAATAAAAACCTTAAAAAAAAAAAAAGAAAGAAAGAAACTTATGAGCATACAGCAAGTAAATATTCATGGTATTTATTAATATGTCCTTAAGTCCCCAAATTAAATTACTTTTGGGAAAATAACGTTTATTCCCAATATACTTACAGCTCTCTGAATTTACTCATATACATTAAAGTAGTTATAGCAAACATTTCATTAGAAAAATTAACAAATTATCAGCTAATAATATTAGTATCATACCTTTTGTGCTGTATAATGTAGAGTAAAAATTCAATTAATGTAGACCAACTTGGGTGGACTTAATCTTGTTTATTCTGATTTTTACATGATCAACATTATTCAGAGTATGTAGAATTTAAATGTAAGCATAATTCCTGAAAAATTCAGTTGTGGATTCTGAGTAAATTAGTTAAATTAATAGCTTATTTTATTACAAAATTATTTTTAATGTCTGTTATGCTTTTTCTTGTTATGCTAAAGAACAATTTCTGTGAGGGAAAAGTCTTGGCTTCTCCGATGAATTCCAGAAAATCGGATCCAGTCACAAGCAAGTTGCAAAAGAAAGGTAAAAGACAAACAAATACTGGAGATATTCAGAAGTAAGTGAACGTGACTATTAATCAATTATTTATTGACTATCTACTATATGCCAGTGTATTTTTGTTCCTATAGTCCACTGACTATCAAAATTTAGTTCCTGCGCTGTGCATGAAAACCATCCAGATGGCCTGAGATTGATGTAAAGTAAAAATAAGAGAGCTGCTCACGTAGCCTAGATTCCCGGCTGGCATGAAGAGGGATGTGAAGGTTTTTTTTGTTTTTAATTTTGATTGCTCAGGGTTTCCATGATGTTCACATTTTCTCAAAATTAACCAGTGGGATTTCTACCCCACCCCTCCTTGGTTTAGTTAGATTCAAGTGAGAAAAGCTGGCCCCATATAAGGTCATACTCATTGAAGGAGTTTGTAATTTGGCATGTGGGTCATTCACCCACCTTCTTTTTCCCAGTTTGTGCATTACATTTCTTCTCTACTAATACAAAAAGCATGAGTCAGATAGTCAACAGTGGAGTAATGATTTAGTTCTCCACAATGCCCCTCCAGCAGCAGACAGAATTGATGACTTTATGAGGATATAAGCTTTCCCGTTGTAATTCATAGTTGGGAAAGTTTGAGAACCACCATAAAGACTTGAAAAACATAAGGGCTTTTGGTTCAACTGAGTAAATATTTGCAGGTAATTTCCCTTCTTCCAGAATTCTTAGAAATTTTGGATTTGGGGTAGTGGAGATTTGGGATAGGGACACTTAGATTTAGGGTGGGGGCAGAGTTAAATTAAGGGGTTCCTATTAAGATAAAAAATACATGCAGCAATATCAATATTTCTGTGTTAATGTTATGCAAAGTAGAAATCAAGAGAAAAAGCATTAAAAGGAGAAAAGCAGAGACTTTACATAATTATGTTGGGTTGGTCAAAAAGTCCATTTAGTTTTTTTCCGTAAAATAAAAGACACATTTTTCATTTTCACCAAAAACTGTTGATTTGGATATTTTGAGTATATCCACTATCTCCCACTATTGGCTTCTAGTGGACAGAGGCCAGCTAAACCTCTTCCAATGCATAAGACGGCCCCACAGCAAAGAATTATTTAGTCAAAAGGTCAATAGTACCAAGAAACTTCGCAAATCATTTTTGACACATTTGATCAGTTCACAACACCTTCTCCATACACTGCACAAATCTTTCTTTGCATTTCAATTGTGTTTTTAACCTTTCTTGAAAAAATAAAGCACAATATGCTGAAAATGCTGCATATCTTCTTCCATCTTCAATATTAAAATGGCTGCACAAAAATTCACCAATTATCAAAGTTTTGAAAGAACCATTTTTTAAAAGATTTTATTTATTTATTTTTAGAGAGAAGGGAAGGGAGGGAGAGGGAGAGGGAGAGAAACAAGGATGTGTGAGAGAGAAAGCCATTGGTTGCCTCTTGCACTCCCCCAACTGGGGACCTAGCTTGCAACACAGACATGTGCTCTGACAGGGAATCAAACTGGCAGCCTTTTGGTTCACAGGCCAGTACCCTGAGCCACACAAGACAGGGAAGGATAAGTTTTTTTAAATGCACACTGATAGAACCCTGGCTACTGTGGCTCAGTGGGCTAAATGCACACTGATAATGACAGCTGTTGCAATACAATTTAATAATTGTTTTTTAATGAACTAAGCACTAGTAGAGCCATCACACAGAAAAAACTAAATGAACTTTTTTGGCCAACCCAATATAACACTTTGCTTAAAGCATATAACTTATGAGTCTTCATGCACTTAAATATATATTTTGAAATGTACAAAAATAAAAAATTATTAGAAATACAGTGGACCTAATAAACTGACAAATTTTAATAAACTGGTGAATTTTAAAAACAGAAATTGGGAAACTAGTGGATTAAAGTTTAAACAAAGTTAAAAACAAGTAAGGTCTAGTCTTTAGACTATATAAAGAATTTTTATATAACTCAACAACAAGATAAAAATGCACAAAGAACTTGAATAGACATTTCTCCAAAGATGTGCAAATGGCCAATGAGCACATAAAAAATGCTCAACATCCTAAGTCATTAGGGAAATGTGAAAAATCACAGTGAGATACCACTTCACACCCACTAGGATGTCTATAATCAAAAAAAGGGTAGGGGATAACAAATGTTGGCAAAGATGTAGAAAAATTAGGGTTCATTGCTGGTGGGAATGTAAAATGGCACAACCATTGTGGAACACAGTTTGGCAGCTCCTCAGAAAGTTTAACAGAATTACTGTATGACTTTGCATTCTACTCCTAGATATTTATCCAAAAGAACTGGAAATGGGTATTTTGACAAATACTTGTAACATATATAGCACTTCAAATAGCCAAAAATGGAAACAGCCCAAATGTTCATTGAGGGATGAATGGATAAACAAAATATGTATCCCTGCAATGGAATATTATTTAGCTCTTAAAAGGAATGACATACTGATAAATGCTGTAATTTGGATGAACTTCAGAAACACACTAAGTGAAGGAAGCCAGACAAACAGGGTTCCATATATCTTTTACATGAAATAGCTAGAATAGATTAATCTGTAGAGACAGCAAATGAGTAGTTGCCAGTGGCTGGGGAGAGGTGGGAATGGGGAGTAGCTGCGTAATATATACAGGGTCTCTCCTTTAGGGATGATTAAAAGGTTTTGGAACTCGGTAGTTGTGATGGTTGCACAGCTTAAAGAATGTACTAAATGCCACTGAATGCACTTTAAAAATGGTAATTTTATGTTATGAATTTTACCTCAAATTTAAAATGATTAACAAAAATGTTACTAAAGTGTATGAACATTAAGAAAAACTACTAAGTAACTCATCGGTTAAACAATCTTTTTTATTTTTATGCTCACCCAAGGATATGCTTATGGGTCTTAGAGAGAAGGGAGGGGTGGAAGGGAGAGAAAAAAAGAGAAAGAAAAGAAGAAAGAGAAGCATTGATCAGTTGCTTCTGGCATGCAACCCAACTGGGGACCAAATCCACACACAACCTAGGTATGTGTCCTGACCAGAAATCAAACTCATGACCTTTCGGTCTACATGGTGGTGCTCCTACCAACGGAGCCATGCTAGCCAGGGCTAAAGAATCTTTTTAAAAAATTTGTATTCATACTACAAACAAAAATCAGTTTACCAATTTCTCTCCCACATCCCATGCCCTCTTCCCTATCTCTGACAACCACCAATCTGCTCTCAATATCTGTGACTATGAGCTGGGTTTCTCCCTCCCCACCCCCTGCCAAATTCCATATATGAGAGAGACCATACAGTGTTTTGTTTCTCTTTCTCTCTGTGACTTACTTCACTTGGCATAATACCCTCCTCGAAGTCCATCTATGTTGTTGCAAATGGTGAGATTTCATTTTTTTAATGGCTTCACATTTATAGTGAGTAAACATGTGGTATTTGCACAGGGATAGAAAAATAAAATAATTGAGGCAACATAATAGATAGCTTAGAGACACACCACAGTTTATGGAGCCTTTAAGGTAGCTGTGTTGTTTTTAAACTATGTCAACAAATTTTTTGATATTCCTCCCTTGAATGTGGTTGGACTTAAGTATACAAATAGAATTACCAGAAGGGACATTGTACACTTTAGACTCTAAGTTCAAAAAGGCACTGTGACTTTAACTTTATGGAAATTAAAATTATAATGAGGTCATTTTTCATTACATACAAATCCTGAATCATGTTGCACACCTGGAACAAATTACAATGTTCTATGTCAATTATACCTCAATAAAAACAACCACAAAATTATAGTGAACTAGCATTCCATATGCATCCTATTGGAAAAATTAAACTTTCTAACATAGTAAGTGTTGTAGAGGATAAGGAACAGTTACATGCTTGGGAAGAGTGTAAAATGTTAATAGTGTGTAACTCTGGAGTATAGACACTTAAAAAACCCCAGAAGACAAGTACTGGCATGTTCCCAGCAGTATTATTCATAACAGTGAAGAGCCAGAAGTACCTGTATTCCAACAGCAGAACATAATTTTATCCAGCAGTGAAAATGAATTCTAGCTAAAGAAAACATGCATGATTTAGGAAAGTGGCTTCAAATTTATAGTGAATAAACAGTTTGTGGAAGAATACATGGAGTAAGTGAAAAAAAATCATTGTGGAAGATTATATATAATATGGTTCCATATGCATTATAGTAAAGAAAACAATTTGTGGAAGATACATGCAGTATGATTCCACATACATAAGGTTCAAAATCATACAGTACTAAGCAATAAGATGTTTGGAGATATAGGTATGTGTGTGGTAAAACTTTTTAAAAGCAAGAGATAAATAACTCAGGATAGTCATCTCAGACGTAGGGGGCAAATAGGAGGCCCCATAGGGACTTTAAAATCAGTGATTTTTTCCCCCCATTAAACCAGGTGGCAAGTATAAGGGTTTTCATGATAATGTAAATTTAAAACTATTTTTTAAAGTATAGCATACATCTGTTAAAGTTCACTAATCATGAGTGTACTTTCTGGTGAATTTTTATATTTGCACAAACCATCCTCCAGATTTAAGGTGTAGAATATTTCGAGAAGGTTCACTCGTGCCCTTTCCCAGTCAGTAGTCCCCTGCCTGTACACAGGGGTGGGCAAAAGTAGGTTTACAGTTGTGAGTGACATTCTTTTGAGTTAATAAAGCTATTGTAATGATCATAACCTGCATGTATGTCATTTTCCATATAACAACTTATAAAGTTACTTTTTCCTACTCCTGTATTGTGATTTTTACTTATATTGTGTAATTGTTTTCTCATAAACTGTTCTCATAAAGAAGTCAGAAATATACTCTTAGAAAGATCTGTAAGACAAAAGTGAAAAAAGAAAATCACAGAGAAATATGATTCCTTTAGAAAAGAGATAGTATGTACTATATAGAAATATACTTTAAAAAAATTGGTTACATATAAGGGTGGATGACATATATTTCCTACATTTTTGTTTTTTAGAATGAGCATGTATTCATATGTTACTTGGTTATTATAAGTAAAGAATATCCAAGCAAGTTCATAAATCTTCACTGATTAAGTTAGATAAGTATCTGATCACATTTTGTTTGGTTCTTTGCTTATGGATTTCAAAACAACTATTATGCTGTAATAATTCTTGGTACTAACATACTTGGTGACTAACTTCCGACCTTGACAGAAGGGATTCTCCAGCTTTGGGAAACAAGATTAATGAACTGTAGAAATGATCCCTGAAAGTATAGTCTTGGCAAACAAGATTAAAGTGCAACTAAACCTGGAATCCTGTTTTTCTCCTATCAACTGAAAAGGTGGTTCTTGTTCTCCTAAGTGTATGGAGTATTTAGGTTGATGTAACTACGTATGTGGGTTAGACACTCTAGTTCATCTGTAAGGAGTATTCATTTGTTCTTTATATGAAATTTTGTCTAGATTTTATTTTGTTCTACATGCTACTTGTTAATGCATTAAACACAATGCAGCTTAGGGTTGTACATGTTATTTGTAATCAGATAGTTCTTTTTTTATTTTCTTTAATTATAAAAATGAAACCTAGCTCCTCTTTGAAAATCACCCAAAGTTACCATGACTTAAAGACATCAAACATTTTGGGAGATTTCTGCCATTTTTAAGCATAGTTGTGTATGTGTTTGGATTTTTTATAATTTTTAAAATATTCCTACCATTTTGTGACCTGTCCTTTTATTCCCATTTCTTTTATAGCATTTTCCATTATATTACAAACTTTACATTGTTAGTGGTAAACAGCCTATTAAAGATGTTTAGAAATTTAGAGATACAGTCTTATGCTATGTTGATACATGTTTGTCTCAAAGCAGATAGTTGATATAAAATGTGTATAAAACAAATATCTCTCTACCAAAATCATAGAGAGAATCTAATTATGGACTTTTCCATGATAAAAAATAAAGAATTCTGACATTTAAAAAGAAACAAAAACCACTCTGGCCCTTGCCTGGTAGCTCAGTTGGTTAAAGCGTCAAGGTTGTACCAAAGTTGAAGTTTGATCCCCAGTGAGGGCACATACAAGAATCAACCAATGAATGCATAAATGGGTGAAACAACAAATCAAAACAACAAATCTCTCTCCCTCTCTCTAAAAATCAATAAAAAAATTTTTTTAATAACTGGCTGTTTTAAAAAAACAACATTCTTCCTCCATATTTAATATGTCTTTTCTAGTATTTGGTAAGACTATATATATATATATATATTGTCTTGGTTGTTTTGATGCTATTTAACTTTTAAAAATTTTTTGAGAATTAAGAAATGTTTAAATTTGACTTTTACTTCCTTTTCTGCAGTTTTTCCCTAAAATATCAATCCTCAGCCATTTAGGTTTTGCTCTGGAGTTAGACCAAAATACGTCAGACAAGGAGATAGACTATACTGTTTCCGACAGATCAGCCATGCAACCAGACAACCTTCAGCGTCAATAGTGGCTTTATTGTACTGGGTGCATACCACTTGCCTTTCAAAGCATTCATACTTTGATAAACTCTTTTTTAAAGGTATTTGTCACCTAAACCTCCATTTGGGTCAGCATCACAGTCTGAAGTTGTACAAGAAGACAAGAAAAACTCCATGTCTAAGGTATGTGGATACTAAAGATGTTCTTAGTTTGGCATGTTTACTAATACTTGTAGATTACTAACTTTTTTTTTCCTTAGATAACTATAGTAAATGTAACACCATTTCTTGGTCATCTTAGGCTTACCTAGATTAGGAGTCAGCAAGTAAACTTTTTCTCTAAAGGGCCAGACAGTAAATACTTTAGGCTTTGCGGCCCTGTGGTCTCAAGTCACAAGGCAATTATGCTGTTGTCATGTCAAAGTATCCATAGATGGCATGCCAACAAATGACCTTGTCTTTGTTCCAGTAAAACTATTTGCAAAAACAGCAGGCTGAATTTGGTAAATGGGCCATAGTTTGTAGATTCCTGACATAGATAATCAAACTCACAAAACTGAATAGGCTATCTCCAGTACCACCTTCACTTTAAAAGATTACAGGATGGGAAACAAAGCATGATAGTAGGGCAACAGCAGGCATATAACTAGTAAGAGTTCTCATTGCAGGTGACTGTGGTAACCACCCTGGCTTAGGGGTCTAATGTCCCATGAGAGTCAGTTATTTATTGTAACAACCCAAGAGTATGACTTTCAGGGATCCTCATAAGAAACACACCCAGGCAAAGGAGTTATAAGTCACTTATAGAAGGCCCAAGTTTTCACTTTCTGCTTGGTTGGTGTTTGTAGACCACTCATAGTTCCAGTGCAAATGCAGTTCACCAGTAAGGGTCATTTCTACTGTAAGCTATGTGGCCTAGTAACACAGATGACATTCTACCTTTTATCAGGTTTTCAGATAAACGGAACGAGGGAAGGGGAGCTGTCACTGAGCTCTATTTCGTACATAAAAAGCTTGTTAATCCTTTACTCACAGGTTCCTTTTTTTCTTTTTTCAATTCAGATTGAGGGTTTTTAGGAACATTTATTGTGTGCCAGATAATGTATGTGTTTTCTTTAAATCTTCATTACAACCTTCAACTCTATGATGTAGACATCGTTCTTGTGCCTCTTTTACAGTTGAGGCACACAGAGATGAGAGACTTGCCCAAAGCCCTTTAAGTAGAGGTAATAAAGGGAGGGAGAGGCATTGTAGGGCTGGGATATTTTTTCTATCCTGTTATTCATATTCACAGCAAAACCAGGTAAGCAGCCTAGAATTTGTCCGATGCAAACCATATTGGTTCGTAAGAAATGCTATCAGAAATGATAAATGTATAGCTAAAAAGGTAAAAGAACAGAGCGTCTCCAACAAGGAGTAACTTTTGTTCTGGGGCAAATTCTAAGTGAAGACTTTCTTAAGGCTTTCCCACAGTCAAAACTAATCCTATGTCTTGATTTACCTAAGACCTGTAAGTGAGAAGAATTATACTTGCTAAAGCAAGGATTCTCAACCTAAGGTCTTATGGTTAGAATCCAGAGAGTACATATGAACTTAGATGAAAGAAAAAGTTTATCTTTATTTTCTTCTGCCCTCTCATTTTAGTGTTTCCTTTGATTATGAATGTAGGCAGCAAACTATAATACTCTTAACAGTACCTGTGACTTTGTTATCAATAAAAAGGATGAGTTTTTATCATTCTATCTTTGCTACAGATCTCTTGAAAAATTTATGCTCTTCCTTACTTCAGTATTACACATTGTTAAACTTGCCACTGGATCTTATTTATGGACACGCATTGCATCATAACTTTTAACATTTTAATAATTGTGTTACAATATAAATTTTCTTTGTGATCCTATGAATTTATATTTAAAAATATTAATCTTAGAAGAGGTCTGTAAGCTTTACCAAAATGCCAAAAGGAGAGTTTATGGTACAAAAAAGGTTTACCATCCCTGGGATACTGAAAGTTTATAAGGTAAAAGAGATCAGGTCATAGTGCCAGCTATTGGTTTATATAGAGAATCTAGTTTGTGGGTTTTATTCTATAGATTTTCATGGGAATAAAAGTGAGGGGATATTTTAATCTAAATTAAATTAAATACCCAGAATAAAAAATACTATTAAAAATCAATATGCCAGGGGGGAAATTGGGACAACTGTGATTGAACAACAATAAAAACAAAAGTATTAACATAGAAAAAATCAATATACCTTAGTGATAGTGGTAGAAATAACTACCTAATAGTGACAACTTAACTGTCATATCAGTGTAAGACATATATGTTATGACTTGATGTATATCACTGGTTCACTCAGTATTTTTTTGTTTTCTACAGGAAACTGACAGTAGTGATGTAAAAAGCCCTAAGTGGCAAGAAATTGAGGAAGATATGCCAACACTTTCTCCGCAATTATGCCTTGAAATTCAAGAACAAGATATAAAGTCTTCAATAGAGTCACCTATGCCTCAGTTATGTGCCAATGGTACAGAATGGTGCGTTGAAGGAGAAGTCAAAATGAGACCAAGCAATCATGATAAAGAATTGTGTGTCACAAATCACGAGGGACCTGAGGCCAGAGTTCCCTACTCTAGAGAAGCTGCAGTTAAGCCTTGTGGCAAAACAGAGAATGGATGTACTTTATCAGATATGACACAAATAATTGGAAATAACACAGTCGAGACAGAAAATGAAGAGTCTCGCCTACTGATCGATAAGGAAGATATTTCCAAAAGAAAAAACCAAGAGTCTTTGTTTGAAGCAGTCAGGGATCCATGCTTTTCTGCAAAAAGAAGGAAAATGTTCCCCTCATCTTCCTCAGAGCAAGAAGAAACAGAAATCAGCTTTACCCAAAAACTGTTAGATTTGGAACATCTATTTTTTGAGAGACATAAACAAGAAGAACAGGACAGGTTATTAGCATTACAAATTCAAAAAGAAGTGGATAGAGAACAAATGAAGCCAAACAGGCAAAAAGGATCCCCAGATGAGTATCAGTTACGTACCACGCCCTCACCGCCAGATAAATTGCTAAATGGGAAGAGGAATAATTCCAAAGATAGGAACTTAAAAGGACAAACTGATGTAGAGCATTCAAAACCTCAAAGAGGCCCAAAAAATGAACCTTGGCAACCTCCTTCTTTTAAGATCCAGTTGAAACATTCAGTTAATGTTAATGGAAGAAAGATGCCAAATTCTGCTAGAGAGCATTGTAATGTATCTAAAAGTGCTCATTCCCTACAGCCTAGTAAGTCGCAGAAAAGTATTTTCCAGATGTTTCAGAGATACACAGAGTAATGCATGAGTGGAGGGGATATTTTAAAATCTATATAAAGCTGGATTGTGATGCTCTTACTATTACAGAATGTGTATAATTTTTTTTTATTCTGCTCTGTGGGCACACTCATTGTCTATAATTGAAGGACTGTGCAATTACGAGGGAGGAGTGTATAAATGTACTTCTGCCAAAGTCACTGATAAACCAGAGTCCTGATTCTTTATTAATAACTGATGTGCAAAGTTGGACAGTCTTTATAGATAATAGATGCAAAAATCCCTGGGCCAGTTCCCAAGAAATCCTCGAGTGCCATTCTCTTTCCAAAAAAATGTGTGTTTTATGCCCTTGCTCACATTTTTTACCTGAGTATAATCTTGCTTTGATTATACCAAGTAGTTAAGGAATCAGGTTTAAAATCTGTTGTTTTGCTATTTTGCCTTGTATTTGTAGATCACTTGAAATGTATCTTCTATAACACTAAAGTAATCTGATTTTTATCTTTTTAATTACTTTAAGCATTATAGCATTTTATTTAAAATGGATTAGCATCACATGAAATCAGTGTTTTCTGGAAAATTAGAATTGAGCGAGAGGAAATTAAAGGAGTTTAGACTAGAGGGGAGGCTGAGTTAGAGCAAACTGATAACTGGGAAGGACTGGAACTGAGTGGGTGATCAGAGACTGGGTCCAGGGTGGAACAGCGGCTACAGTTGGGCATAGTTGGGCAGAGCATCCTCCCTCCCTCGTTCTTTGCTAAATGACACAGAAAACGTTGGGGTTTTACGGCTTGTCACACCATAGTAACTGGTGTCAAAATCAAAATTAGGTATTAAATAACCTGAAATTTTGGAAATTAACATTTCTATTAGTCTTCTATTCCAGAAAAAAAATATGGGAATTTACTATAGGGAAGTTAAATCACAATATACTATGTCGTGGGACCCGAGACAAATAACCATGTGTTTATTTCCTTTTATTATCATTTGTATTGGTAGTGACTTTTATTTGTGTTTTATGTACTGAATAGTATGCTACTTGGGTTTTACCTTATATTACTCCTCAAAGTTAAATAAGAGGCAGTGCATTCATTTTGTGACATTTAGAAACTCTTAATCTTTGTTTCATTAATATGAACAACTTTCAGCAAACAGTTTTAACAGCATTTCTGCTGATGTCTAGTTATGTATCCTTTTAAAGTAAAAATACAATAAAATGTCCTAGAGCTTAGTCTAGCTTAACTTTGTCAGTATTTTTATACATTTTTGAGATTTTTTTTTCCTCCAGGTTTTGTAACTGAAATTGTTAATCTTTGCATATTTGATGATAGCTACTTCAGTATTAATTGGATAGGTAATTAGGGGTAGAATTACCCCTGATATAATTTAAAATTTATTTTGGCCCTTTCTAAAAAAAACAAAAACAACAAAAACAGTGATTGCCTTCTGAGTAGTGATTGTGCTGAAATGACATGTAGTCAGAAACTAACAAAATTTGCCTAAAATAGACTAAAATTTGTCATCGAACTGATATTTTTCAAAGAGCAATTTCACTTCACATTTTAGGGAAGACAATGATGGATCTCCTCAAATTAAAAATTATGTAATTTGCCCTGGCTCATGTGGCTCAGTGGATTGAGTGCCATCCTACAAAATGGTCACTGGTTCAATTCCCAGTCAGGGCACATGCCTGGCTTGCAGGCCAGGTCCTCAGTTGGGAGTGTGCGAGAGGCAACCAATCAATCTATGTTTCTCTCCCCCTCTTTCTCCCTTCTCCTCTCTCTAAAAATAAATATTTTAAAAAGTTTAATTTTCTGGAATAGTCTGTGACCAGAAAGGTGGAGGGGTAGTGTGATGTACCTAGGATTTATATGTTTAATTACTTACTTGTCTCTGAAATCTTCCTGACTACAGTTGGTTTTAAAATAAATTTAAATTTCTCTAATTAGTCTTTTTTTTTTAAATGGTTTGAACATTTCTAGAGAGAGGGGAAGGGAGGGACAAGAGAAGCAGAGAAACATCAATGTGTGAGAGAGACATCTATCGGTTGCCTCTTCCATGTCCCCAACTAGGGATCTGCCCCACAACCCAGCCGTGTGCCCTGACTGGGAATTGAACTAGCAACTTTTTCAGTTTGAGGACCAGCACTCCATCCACTGAGTCGCACCAACCAGGGCTCTAATTAGTCTTTCTGATAGTCCTACTATGTATGCCTTTTTGTTAGAAACTAATAAATATTTTGTCAGTCATTAGAATGTATTGCTACTTTTCCCTTTTTGTGGAAGGGATATGAACGCCTTTAATTTCTCAGGGAGTGCTAAAACTGCACAGGTTGAGAATCAGAAAATTAAAATATTAAAAGTAAAAATGAACTGTTACATATTTTACAAAAAATTCTATAAAGGAAAATTGGAAGATATGGCAAACTGGGGAAGAAATAGATGTACTTCATTACAAAGAGGTAATCTCCTTTATATAAAGTATCCCCTAATTCATTAAGAAAAATACTAATAACCAGAAAGGAAAATTAGAAAATTTATGTTTGATACCAAGGAGAATGGTTCCCAGGAAAGGAAATATAAATGTCTCTTAAATATGTGAAAAGCTGCATGATATCACTTATACTACTGTTCATACATTTTTCCACTCTTCAGATTAGTAGATTGGTTTTGTGTGTGTGTCTGTGTTAATCTTGGCAAGGAAATAGATACTCATGTTGCTTGGTATGAGTGGAAAAGTATAAATCCCCGGAGAGGTAAACTTGACAATTGTGCCTCTAGGAATTTCTGAAAGCTGTCTTCACATATGTGTAGAGTGACATGTACAAAACGCTTTTGAATGGCATTATTTGTAATGACAGGCTTAGAAGCAACCATACTCTTGCATCAGTAGACACTAAGTAAATATGGTACAATGGAAAACTATATAGAGGTTAAACAAACAAGAAAACCCCACCATTTTATAGATATGAAAAGAACTGTAAGGTACAGAGTTAAATAAAAAATAGATACAGAATAGCATCTATAGTGTGCAACTATTGTCCAAAAAATAGAAACATGTATGTGTGTTTGTATAAAATATGTGTAGAAGGAGAAACAGTTCCGCCAGCAGGGAGGGAGACTGGGTAGCTGTGAGAAAGGAGTGGTTTTTAGTACATGAGAGTATGTTCTTTTATACTATGATTTAATTTTCAGTCATACTGAATATATCATAGAGTCAAAAATTTTAATGTTCTTAAAATGTAACAAGGTAGAGGAAGCTTATATATCTCAGCCTGCACCTCTCTAGAGGTTCTTTTATGCCTTTAATTTGTTTTCAGCATGGAAAAAAATAGCATTTTGAATTTTTGGAAATAGCATAGTAAATGAATTTGAATTTGTTTAGCTTTAATGTACTATTTTTAAATTATTTGAAATGCAAAACTGCCCTGACTGGTGTGGCTCAATGGGTTGGGGCATTGTCACACAAATTAAAAGGTCGCCAATTCGATTCCCAGTCAGGGCACAGGCGTGGGTTTTGGGCCAGGTCCCTTGTTGGGGGCATGTGAGGGGCAACTGATCATTTCACTCATCGGTGTTTCCCTTTCTCCCTTCCCATCTCTCCAAAAGTAAATAAAATCTTTTTTTTTTTAAGTATGTTTCCAGATAGCATGGCTGAGAACAATGAGAAAAGCCACATAGCAATGTATAATTGTCGACTTAAAAATATCAGAGACCTACTGAAACAATGACTAATTTAGGGGTTAAGATTCTAGAGAGTGGAGATTTAAAAGCGGCGAGCTGATGTTTGTAGCCACTTCTTCACTGATAGCAGGTGCCTGTTCTGAATGCAGGATGCGAATCGAGGCTGCTGCTGGTGAACAAAGGAACTGGCAGAGCTCTTGGCCATTTCATAAAGCTAGAGTGATGGTATTGAAGACTAGAGGGCCATCAGACACAAGGCCTGTTTTCCTATCAAGGTAATTGTGGAGTTTTGAAACTCCCCAGGGCAGAGGATAAAAGGCTGAAAACTTTTGAAAAACAGAGACAGTTGTCATCAGGTTTACAGTGCTGAAGAGGAGAGAGTAAAGTTCGGTACCTACCGAAGGAAGGAAGCCTGTTAACACACCAGGGTCTCAAATGAATGACCTAGAACTGGTCTACAAACTACTTCCCAGGGGCCAAATTTACATGCCACCTTTTTTGTGGGGCCTGTGAGCCAAGCATGGCTTTAAATGCCTTTAGATTCCTTAGGTCTCAAAGTATTTAATCCATAAGGGAACTGTTGGACTAGTAATGTGTACGTGAGCTTTGGACCATCAGAAAAAGGACGTAGTGAAGGAAGGAAGAGAATTCCCTTCTTGGTCTCTACCTATATTATCTTAGCTACTTTCATTACCTCACTTTCTTAATTTGTAAATGGAAATCATTACGTAACCAAAAGTTGCTATCAAGAGTTTAGTAGTATACATAAAGCACCTGCACGGGCCCTGACTCAAAAAAGAAAATAAGGCGATAGCTCCTACCCCCTGACAGTCCACCCCATCCACCAGTCCCACTTTCATCCAGCACTTCATGCTCCCTTAGGTTCCCAGGTGTAGCATAAATTGTCAATTATCTTTTGTCCACTGATGAAGACCACTCAGGTCTCCCCTGTCAGATGTGTCCGCAGCTTCGTGTGTCATGAGACCTCGGTCCCAGAGGAAACCAATTCTCAGAAATACGTAATGGATTCCTCAAGTTCTTATACTGGTTCCACACATTTCGTATGCATAAAGGTGTGCAAAACACTAAAAACTCTAAGATGTTAAAGAGACCAGGGAGTGAAACTACTACTATATGTTTACCCATCATCTCTGTGTAAAGATCTTAAACAATGATGAAAGTTTGAGTCCTGATTTTTTTCCCCCCAGAATATTTTGCCTTGTCTTGGTAGGACTTGGAGCAACATGGAACCTGAGTTCAGCTGAGGGGACCCTTCTTTTTATATTTTACTTACTTTACATTTCTTTTCAACTTGGCTTTTGTACTCCCAAGCTGCCACAATTAGGCTCTCTCCCTGAAGTTCAATTCACAAGGCTTTCAGTCGGTGATCATCCATAAAAAGTTTGGGGTGTCTGTATTCTCACTGCAGGTTAGAATGACTAACCATGGACTTTCCTGTGTCTCAGGATCAGATTGAGAACTCCAATCTCTCAGTTTCTACTAGACAAATGTAGATTATATTGGGTGTATTGATTGGAGTCCCGTTAAGAAAACAAAAACCCCAGCAGGTATTTCAGCAGAGGGTATGCAGTACTACAAAAAGTTGGTTAGACAGGTGTTGAATCAAAAGGAAACACTGAACCAAAAGGTGACAACTGAAGGAAATGTCCACCACCCTGAGCTGGGGAACATGGGGTTTTGGCTACTACACTAAGGAGCCCTGCAGACCTGGTATTCAGACCTTTGAGAAGGAAGCTCCCAAATGCTGGTACTCTGAAATGGCCTCGTGAGTCCTGTTCTAGAAGAGTTGAAGGAATTTGGAAGCTGCCGCTCAGGACAACACTGACAGGAACAGCAAAAAACCAATCTGTCCCTTTCCCCTTCCTCCTAGTACCTCTTAATAAAACATAATAGGAAACTTGCTGACAAAGGAGCCTGGGAAAGTGTTTTTTATATCACAACAGGGTTTAGAATGTCAAGCTTTGACATGAGACAAGGGGACCACACCAGAGATATTTTCCTTTAATGGATTCTAGGACTAAGATATCTTGAAATTTCAAAGGCAAAAACCTGGAAAGCCACCATCCTGACAAGATGGAGGAGTAAAACGTGTGAGAAAATGATGCTTAAACCTGCCTAGGAAAGGTAAAACCTCATTAAAGGTCTGTGGAAGAAAATTGCAGAGAACCTTCACGAGTATCTGCAAGAAGCCCGCCCAACTGTTCAGTTCCTATTGCCCTCATTATCTCCTAGTGTTTCCT